TATATATATATATATATATATGTTACGAGAAATAATTGATAGGATAATTTCAGATAAATAAGATGTAATGGTGATAAGTTATAATTTCCTATTACATATACCTGATATTATATTTATATTATTTAGTTGATGCGGGTAATGTATAAATTCAATTACGTATCACAAAAATCACCGGTGCTAGGATTACCCAGGCCGAATTTATAGCAAATATAAGAGTAAGTTCATAGTTCACTCACCTACACAGTCATTCAACAAACAGGTGCAATTATAAGCAAATTTCCTCAGCAGATATAGCTAGCATGATTAAATATATTTATATATACATCTAATTATTCCACAACATGCAATTCCCAGTTATTATATAATTGCATAAAATAACAATCATATAAATATATATTCTGAAATATATAAATATATGTCTGTTATTATCAACACAATACATCTAGACTCGAGAGCGTGTGCTCGGTGAAACGTACCTTTGGTCTGGGTCTTTCCACAGTCATGGTGAAGGTTCCTTGATTGACAGGTCTCATCTGTACCTCTGTAACACAGAAGACAACCAACCCATGCAGCTAAGACAGCTTCAAGTTCACATAAAGCATTGAAATATCTATATTGATACACCCTTTGGGTACATTTTTAACACATCCTGGCAGCCGTTTTTAAACGTGTATATATTATGTGGAGATTAATATTGACCCCTACCAAGGTCAAATAGCTTACCACCAGAGCCACCCTCCTCCCCTCTTCCACCAGGATCAGCTGCATGAAATTATACACGCAACAACAATTATGCACTTACACACGTTTATAATAATCTTACTTCAGGTATAACGAATATATATAACATCAGGAGTCTATCACAATAGATTCAATTGATAGACTCCTGATAACATGTATAACGTAATATATATATATATACAGGTTATATATTACATTAGGAATGCATAGGTGCTGATGAAGGGAAGTAATAAAGCACAAAGACTTCATATCACCCATTAATTTTTTTATCGACTTCTGAGCATGGTGACATTTTTTTACACATATTTCTGAGGTACAACTTCACGGCGTTAATGGTATACGAGCGGTGCTATTAGAGGCACACGGCTTACCATTCGTGGCCGGCTGTGTCCCTGTATCCCGAACAGCCGCGTGAAATTGCATTTGTAACAGTTTTACAGTTAGTCTCAGCAACAGCCTTACATAATGTAGTGTTTACGTGAATGCATGGGGTGAACCGTGATTAGGAACACGATGAAGATGCACTTCAATCGACATAGTTATCTATCCAGCTTGTAAACTAACTAAAATCAGTTCAAACATGATCTATTCATTGGGGAAATATATGTTACAGAAAACAATGTGTGTGAGAGACACAGAAGAAAGTGAGAGTGAGAGATAGAGAGAAAGAGAAGGAGAGAGTGAGAGCGAGAGATAGAAAGAGACAGAAAGATAGATACAGATAGAGAGAGAGAGCAAGAAAGAGAGAGTGAGAGAGAGATGGCAAGCAAGATAAGAAGAGATCTCCTCCCTCCCCCTCCCCCTGCGACCCCCACCTACTCACCGGTCTTCTTCTGCTTCCTGTAGACTATGCAGGCGTGAATCTCAAGGATGATCTCAACAAAGACGTGCCACAGGATGAAGGCGCCCATGATGCAGAACAGGTAGAACGGCATTGCGTCATTGCCGTGCAGGAACGCAATCGCGAGGAAGATTGCAACCACTGTGAGCATCGAACAACGTGAACATTGAATGGTGAACATCAAGCAAGGTAAACATCAAACAAGGTGAACATAGAAAAAAGGTAAACATCGAACAAAACACGAACAATGAACAATGCAAACATCGAACAATGTGCACAAAAAACAATGTGAGCATTGAAACAACATGGAAATCACGTGGTGAACAACCGGAACTGAATTGATCCACCTTTGAAAATTATTCGCAATTTGCTCGAGAAATCTGACCCGACATTCTCTCCCTCATTAGGCAAGCTCATTAGGTTAGTCAACCTAGCCGCCTGGCATGAATGCCATGCAGCTATAGCCAATCATTCTCACGATAGGACGTTCTAAAAACAAATCTCAGCAAGTGCCGCAACGTTGACAATTTGGCGTGTACACATGTAAAACAGATGCAAACTAGGTGATGCCGACTGACCTAACAGCAATATCCGAGTGCAGGGTGTGCTTATCTTGCTCAGACAGATAGGTAAATTGCAAGGTAATCATGAGAAAGCCAGGTGTAAACAATCGTACTAACAACGGCTAGCAATCAGACCAAACATTGATAAATGCTGAGACACACAATGACACAATAACCATTATGTAGCAGCTCGCGTAAAGATATCACGCAAGAATGCGATAACCGCTACATCTCAGCAGTAGATGTGCAAGTGCATATTTATTTTATATTTTTTTATTTTATTGTATTAGTTTATATTCTCCCCGTATGCCATTAAACACTTCTACTTTGTGTTAAGATCTTATTCGTCAACTTCTCTTGCCAATTCGTTCGATCACCTCCCCATTTTCATCAAACAGAAAACACGCTGAAACGTCACGTCACCACGCAGATAAAAAACGAGGGAAACACAAACCTGCCAGGATGTGGGCAACCGTACCGACGCCCCAGTGAATCCAGTTGAACCACGGGCGACTGCTGGTGCCTGGGTGGCAACGGCACAGAGCGATGAACGGCTACAAAAAAAACCACCAGACAGCCAGTAAGAAACACGCGCGAACGCTGAGCAATATCACGTCGAGATGCATCGTTTAATCGCGTATAGTTATCAATCAACGTTCTGCGTATGATACGACAAGATTTTACCGCTTCACACGCTGCCAGAGATCGATTCCCCGATTTAACGGCCACTCGGGTGCGATTTTCCTCAATCTTTCTACGTACGATGCAACAACATTCAACGTTCCGCGTACAATAGTGCCAGGCATCGCCTCCCGATTTACTGCACACGTGCTCGAGCGTTGGCCGTCTACGCGCAACCTCTCGTCTGTACATCTACGTTCGATCAAATTAACGCACTTCAAATTCTCTCAGCGCTGAAACGTCATTGAAAGACGGAATAGTCAGGGAACCGTGATCAGTGTGCGTGCTCGTGGCTCTCTCGTGCTTTTTTTTCGTTCGCCGTGTTTACCCTCGCCGCGACGAGGCGACGAACGACGGGAGGAGTACTTACCTGTTGCCGCCGCAAACTAACGAGAGACACTTGCAAGACGCTTACCTGTACGAAGCCGAGGCAGACAGCGATGATGCCGACAATGGAGTGAGTGTACGCCGCGTCTGACTGTAAGCAAGAAAAGCAAATTACACGCAGATAACTACGGATATCTGAACTATAGCTGTGAGCCTATGCAGACACATCAGTTAGAGATGTATACATGGGTCACTCAACAGAAATTCCAAGTATCCATTATAGACAATTATTTGTTCTATAGAGGTTTTTCGCTAATGCCATGATGATAACTACAAACATCTCCTGTTTAACTTGGCTATGGTGAAAACTGATTTATCTGTAGAGAATGCACGTGTTAAAACACAATTATATTTTATAAAGTCCATTCGCAACACTTCAGTCACACGAGACTGGTTTTATTATTGACACTCGTTTTTTTCCCTATATCATAAAAACACATTGCAACACGTCGTGATTGTGCCTATTCGTAAATATGTAGTGTGATCAATATGTGAACAGAGCAGGTGTGCTTAACAACATTACAGATATTCACAGGTGCGCTTAACGACATTACTTGTATTTACAGGCGTGCTTAACTAAGTTACAGGTATGCCTGATGTTACAGGTATCCACAGATATGCTTGATGAAGTTACAGTTATTCAAAGAAATGCTTGACAATGCTATAAGTATTCACAGATGTGTTTCATGATGATATGGGTATTTACAGGTGTGCTTCATGATGATACAGGTATTTACAGGTGTGCTTCATGATGATATGGGTATTTACAGGTGTGCTTGATGATGATACAGGTATTTACAGGTGTGCTTGATGAGGTTACATGTATTTACAGGTGTGCTTTGATGATGATACATGTATTCACAGTGTGCTTATGAGATTACAGGTAACTGGAGGTGTATTTGATGAAGTTACATGCAAACGGAGTCGTGTTTGATGAGGTTACAGGTAAATGGAGGTGTGTTTGATGAGGTTACAGGTAAATGCAGGTGGGACAACACCATGGGTAATCACAGGTGTGCTTAGCGACATGACAGGTACATACCGATGTCACCCAGCCTCCGACTGCATAGATGATGATGATGGTACTGATGACGAAGCAGATCCATGCTGTCACCATGCACGTCCTGTGTATCTATAAACATAAACGCAAACAAAAACTCTCAATGTCATGCTGCAGTTCACACCGACACCTGTAGGGTATCTTATATACATATACATAAGTATAGAAAGAAATAATATACTTATGCCTAATTATGGAAAGAAATAATATACCTCTTAGTGCAAAACGAAATTGTACACATACAATTAAGCAAGGAAAAGAATTATATACACATACCCAAGTACAGGGAGGAATTATATACCTGCACCTATGAACCACTATGAAAGCCATTCAAAATCCAATAATAACATAGGAAACATTTAGCGAACGTGCACAGCGAGAAGGTCAACACGGACAATGACAAATCGAGGACAAAAGATTGCCAATCACGCGGTCGCTACCTTGCACAGGAAGTTACATTAGTGTTGTGCCGCGCACCTATGCCCCACGTAAAAATCCAGCCTGCCACTCAATACAAGCCGGCTAGTATTTACTCACTAAACAGCTTAGCCTGGTTTCTCGCAATTACTGCTTCTGTACCAACAAGCTGAGGCCCTGAAACTATATTTGAAGCAGCGACGATTTTTGCAGACGTTTTGTTTATGGCTGCGGCTGCTGGCATGCACGTTGGCCAGGATCTGTTTTTGTCGACTAAATGGAATCTTCTATGTAAACCGATGTGCGCCTGCCTGTCTCATGCGCGCACGCATGTACGGGCGGACGTACGCACGTACGCCAGCGCACACGCACACACGCATGTACGCACGGACGCACGCACGTACTCAAGCGCACATGCGCACATGCATGGACGCACGTACGTACGCAGGCTCACGCGCACACACACATGCATGCATAAATGCTCACACGCTATGCACACGTGCACTCAATCATTTATATTACACAGAGCATTAATCATAGCACTAAAACTAGCAGAATAATGTGCACAATCCTCTTTTTCATATTGAACAACGTGTACATTAAGCTAAGGTGACTTTACAATTTAGGATGCTTGGTTAGTCAGCTTTGTAATTAAAAACTATGATGGAATGAGAGAGCTACATGGTATATTTATGGGGCATTGTGGCCGTTTTAATTGTCAATCCTCAATTATTAATATATCACATATTCACAATGCAATTAATAATATGAATTCAGCTCATCAGAATCATCCAATCCCTCTTCCAACACCCTTTTCAACAACAGATTCCAACCTCAGCCTCCATTTATCACTGTGTGTATGTGTGTGTGCATGAGCAGGCCTGCGTGTTTGCATGTGTGGGTGTACAAGCGTGGGTGCATGACGAAGTGCATACGTGTTCGTGCGTACATAGGTGTTCGTGCGTGCATACGTGTCCGTGCGTGCATACGTGTCCGTTCGTGCGTATGTGTCCGTGCGTGCATACGTGTCCGTGCGTGCGTACGTGTCCGTGCGTGCGTACGTGTCCGTGCGTGCGTACGTGTCCGTGCGTGCGTACGGTGTGCTGCGTCGTGCGTGCGTGACTACGTGTCGTGCGTGCGTACGTGTCCGTGCGTGCTACGTGTCCGTCGTGCGTACGTGTCCGTGCGTGCGTACGTGTCGTGGCCGTTGCGTACAGTGTCCGTGCGTGCGTACGTGTCCGTTGCGTGCCGTACGTGTCCGTGCGTGCGTACGTGTCCGTGCGTGCGTACGTGTCCGTGCGTGCATATGTGTCCGTGCATGCACGTGAGTGCATATGTGTGTGCAAGCAGGACGAACGACCTCCCATTGAACGTAATGTATTCGACAAACGAATACAATTCAACATACGAACGTCTTACAAATCAGCCAATCGGAGCATAGGTCTAGCACGCGCTCTTTCGCGAGTCAGTTTAAGTACGTGACTCATTGAATGTGGTTGTGCTCTCATGATTGCACTTGCTGTACGTAAATTGCTGTACATCCTATATAGGGTTCGAGATACGAATTTTTTCAGATACAAACAAATCTGAGGAACGAATTAAATTTGTATCTCGGGGGTCCACTGTATATATATAAGTTAAACCCACATCAGCAGTAGTAGCTGCTAAGCAGGGTCCTACCTGGAACCACAGGTGCAGTTCAAACAACTTGGTATCCCACGTGTTCTTGTAGTAACGAGCGGTCAATTTTCCCAGAGACACGAAGAACACCCATCCGATGACCATCAAGGCAGCTGAAAACAAAGTAGAACATGCTTTAAAACATCATACATGATGACGACAAAGATAACGATCGTCACGTAGTAAATCGAGATGAGAAATTACATACAATTTATACTTACGATATCGTATGGAATAGGTAATTGAGAAACGTGAAAATTGCGTGATTTTGTGCTTTCTATGACCTAGGAATGTGCATTATCTATCAGTTTCCATTGGCATTACAGAGTCATTACCCAAGGAAATAAGAAAAAGTCACTGTTTCTGTCTAGCAATCATAGAATTACAAAACTGTGCAAAGTAGGAGGAATTCAAACCCAGGGAGCCGTTGTCAGAAACATCGTAAAGTTAATGCTAATGTTAATGCTAAGATAACACTTACGACTAATGTTAATGTTACGAGAGGAGCGTTGACATAAACACATCGCAGCTATTAGAAAACTTACGATAACAGGAACTTCATCACAAGGCTGCTGATTGGATGAGAATCGATCACAAAATTCAAATTCATACACATATATTGTACATCACAGTAATTTTAACTAATTTATGCATATTATGATC